TCTCATGCCAAAAACGTAGTAAATATGAACGGAGAAATAAAATAACGTCTAAGAATAATTTTTCAGTGAAGTTTACACCTAAATATGGTTTAATAATTAGTGCGATTTCATATATGACCGTTTGTCAACTGCCTACATTCTGTTTGTAAATTCCAAAAATGTTTTCCAGGGATTCGTGTTATCCTTGACTACTTTGAGTTAAATGAGATGGGGTTTAACAAGAGAGACTGGATTTTGCTCGATTTAACCGGCGGGTACCTCGTAGTAACAAATGTTTTCATAAGGTCACGTGCTGTGAGGCCGCTCGGTGCTCATAAATTTAAATAGGACAGGCTTGAGCGTAAACATCCCATTTTGTCAATAGAAGCAAAGAGCCGAGTCCCAGGAAGTAGTCTTGAAGAAGGAAACACGATCGGCGGGACAAGAGCTATATTAGCCTGACGTTTCGGATTCCTACTCGAATCCATCCGAAACGTCAGGCTAATAAAGCTCTTGTCCTGGCGATCGTGTCTCCTTCTTCTAAAAAATCACATTTTGTGTTTATATGGAGAAACTTTCTTCCACTAAACTAATTTACACTTTTCGTTCGTTTTTGATTACTTTGAGTTTAGGATCGGCCTCGAAATATTGCTGAATACTTCATGATTTTCAGTGTTTTCACCCGATCGTCCGTAAAGATATATTCTGAATTACCTATCTGTTAAGAACTTTAAAAGGGTCTTTACTGAATTAGTAGATGGTCGTTTGGGTCACACGTAAAGACTCATTCAAGCAGCAAACATCATTTTCGAGAAAAACGTCTGTTTACAACGAAGGTCAGCAATGAATAGGCCTTCGATTTGCTCATTATGTTAGATTTTCGAAGAAGTGTACGAACCCATCATCAGAGATAGTAGTATAACGGGGCAGAAAGTTTTCTGATGCTCTGCATGTACCCTTTCTGTCTCATTTAAGAAGGTCTCTAGTAAACGCCCTGGTGGATCATGCTTATGCTTAACCGGACGAACCAGATGTTCGTACTGATCCGACACTTTTGCTCGGGGCCTGTGAACATGCGATTAGCAATAAACGCGTGTCGGCTAATTAGTCTTCTTGTCATCTCCCGCTTTGGTCCTCTCCCTGATTTCCGCTTGTTACCGCTAACCCCGACCGATCTTTAATTTTCCGCTTAGATGTTTGTTCGTCCACCATCCCGTCCAACGTTACCAATAGGTGTCAGAGATGGGATGTCAACATCTAAGAATGAGCATGCCGGCCAGTATCCCCAGTCGGAACCACCCCTGTTGGTCAACCTGTGGCCTCGGTTCTGTCCATTATTAGATCATATGTGTGCCCAATAAGCAAAACCAGGCCAGACTTGGCCGCCCCGCCCCCAGCCCTTTCATCCTAACGACTACTACTCCATATGGGTCTTTTGCGCCGAAAACGTCCTTCGTAGCGTCCCCTCCACATACGCCGACACCTACTAAGTCTCGCTTTTGGATGACTCGGCCGTACGACAACTAATGGCCACGGACATATTCCTGGATGCACCTGTCGCCAAACTAATTAGTACTCTGACCGACCTCTTGGACTATTAGCAGTTTCTTACTTTGGCATTAGAAGCGTTGTAGAGGCGACGGCAACTAGCGGCAGTGTCGGCCGACGCCTAAATCGGAGCATTGCAAGAGCTGGCACTGGACGCATTTCCGGATGAAACTCCCACCCGGCGTGAGGCCGAACTCCACAAAAGAGGTACGCTAGGCGTTCGCAACACAGAATCGTACTCGAAGGTTATTCGTAAACAGTACATTTCGTCGAAGAAGGCGCTGGAGATGGCCCGCGGGTACGAGGCTGCAGATGTGACTCAAAGCAATTCGCTTCCGCCCAAGATCTTTTCGCTGTTGGATCCAGCTCCGTCGACGTCTTGACTGCAACCTTCCAAAGTCCGTCGCCGTCAGACCTCACCTACAAGCTATCCTCATTGCCGCCGATTCAGCAGGCGCGCTAAGCGTTGTGGACCCAAACGCCCTATTCGCCGTCAGCCGCTTTCTGGTAGGTCCGTTTTACCACTGCCAGTCTTCCGTCTTTGGTCGTGTTTTCTCGCAACACTTGCCCATCTCTAACTATTCCTGGAACCATTAACGGCCAAAGCAGGTCGTTCTTATCGGATACTGGGATATCTTCCTCTGCAGTTTATTACTAATCGTAGACCTACAAAACCCACACAGCTTTCAACGGCTAACGGCTCTCTTCTACACCCCGAAGAACACACCTAGTGTGCTGTGGCCGTTGGCAATTTCACCGCTTACACATTTCTACATGTACATATACAATAGGACGCGATCCCAGGTCTGAGCCGCTATCACGAATCCATTGAGTTATCTCCTCAAATAATCCGCCTAGGAGGTATTGAGGTGTTTCGCAGAGATGCTGTTTCGGTGATTACTGACGGACTGTGGTTGGCCCCCCTTCATCTCTGCAAACGCTTATTTAGCTTCGAGAGGAGTTTTCTATCCAGTTTGACATAAACAACAGATCTTCAGGGCATACCCGTGTTCTTAAGCATTCAGTTAACAAAAGGAATTCTCGTCAGGCACTCAACACATTCCCGTGATTTATCAGAGGGATCTAGAGACAACGGGTACATTCAGAGCATCAGAAAGCGCTCTGCGCCCTTACACTGACAACAACAAAAGAAGCAAAACTATAGGGCATGCTAGCCGATGAGCAAACGATGGCGAATATCTGGACGCGACAGCATAGGATCCTATATGGCGGCGCCAGATCTACAAGTATACTGACTGAGTTCTCATCAGAGGCCCAGGTTTCGGAGCGGACGAGTTTCTCACTGGGTTCCAACTTAAACCCAGTCCATTTCGTAGTAGTGGACAGCGACTTGTGATAATTCACCGCCTCTTCGCACAGCCAGCTTATGTTTCATGTAAGTGCCCAAAGGTCTGTGAGCGCCTGCCATGCCATTATTCAGCAAACATTGGCTCTCCCGTCCTGGTGTGCGCTGGCTGTTCTCCGGCAGCTCGTTCCTTGCCGATAGATGCACTTGTGCTCCCGCTGGGTATACACGTTGAAAGCACGAGTACCCCGTCACCCTCGTGTTTCGGACCCGTTCTTGTGCCGTTGTTAGTAAAAACACTGGTCAACTTTTGTTGTAAACTAGGAGTGTGGTGGTACGCATTTCTGCGTGCAGAGCCGTGCTAGCCACATGCACACTCTCGCAACTTGGGTCTTCTTAAATATGTCTTGACGCAGGACCCAGATGATAATGAGGAGAGAATGCGGTATACGCTTTGTAATTCTACTCACTCTCTTAGCTAATTCCCGCGCACAGGGTAGGCGGACGTTCATCGATAACGCTACGGAAAGTCCTCGTCTCTTTGTTCCTTAGGGTTCTCTCTCTCTCTCTCGATCCCGGCACCAGCCACATAATTGTGCATGATATAGGCAGAATGGCATTATCGACAAAGACAAGCGGGCCTGGAATGGTCAACTGTGTGTGAGTCGCCCCGCCTAACCAATCCTCGTGGCACAAACAGTGTGGACGTCATTTTATCTGTCCATATCCTGTTTATTGTCTCCGGGATATGAAGCACCTACAGTAGATGTGCTCAGTCATGAACTGTCAGCCAAAAATGCGAAATGCGTTTTCGACTCTACAAGATTATTCAAGCAGGGTTGTTATATTAAGAACCGTGCAGCATAATCCCATAATAATTCATTTACCTCAGGATGCCAGCTTTTCGATTTAACTTCTCGGCCGCCTGCAAAAATTATACTCAGTAAAAATGACTGCTTAAGTGGTACGAGCTTTCACACTAAGAGGTGCGGCTCGGATTAAGCGATGAGGAGGAAAAAAGTGACACCATTTCACATATAAGCGAGGATACACTCTAGCAACTAATAATGACATTACCACTTCTACACTAGAGATGAGCTTAGCACACCTAGCATTGCCTTCTAAATTTCATTTAACGGTGTGTGTTTCCAGTAATCGTGCGTGTTATCGATCTACACCGAGCTTTTTGACAAATATTTGCAACGTACGTCTATTTGCAGAGTTCTTACCACATTCTTCTGTTTTATTGGCTGACATATTTCCAGATCACCGTCGAGCTACTATAAATAAAGTAGTTGTGGCAGTCAAATTCAGCTCCGGTTAGATAAGGTGAATTTTTATCTCGTTTTCTTGGTTACTTTTGCCTTTAATTTGCGTTAGAATTCCTGAATACATTCGGAGTATTGATAAATGATCAGATCTTCGTTTTCAATCGTTTAGTCGGCTTTTCTAAATAAAATCAGTTTTACTGTCGTTATAAGCATTTATAATTTTATCTACACATACAGGATTCCGATGAAGCTTATATGCATACTGCTTTTGCTCGGTGAGCATTTTTGTTCTCATATATATTTATATATATTTTAAATATTTTTCTTATGAATGCATTCGTCAATAATATTAGGCCATTTGACTTCGCAAATAAGCGTGCGTGTCTCAGCGCTTATTAGTCACAACGCAATAACAATCTGCTCAATATGGAGAGAAAACCTGGCATTAAGCGTGTGTTCATGCACTCTACAATCAATCTACTAAATCTACCTGAGCATGAAGTTTATTTGTTTAGATCGCCTTTTATTTACTCGGTTATCCTTTGCGTATGCCTGCTTACCACACTTTATGTTGTGCATTACAAATAAATAATGCCGACTTTCAGGAAGCTGCTTTGCAGTTGATTACAAGGTCGGTCAGAAAACGAGCTTTTACCGGTTTCTATTCAGTCCTCCGGTCAAGGAGGTAGGTTTTTACCTTCATTGATGTAGCAATTCAATGACAGCTAACGAATTGCATAAAAGTTAACTTACCATCTCGAAATATACTATGCCCACATTTATTGGACATGTTATTTTGTGGCCTACTTACTAAGACTCAAGTTTTAAACCACTGTTTTAGATCATAAACTCCTCTTCTACAATCAAACGAGATAATTGCAAGCCGGGGGTTTTCTGCTTCCAGATATTTAACGGTATGCTTACGGAAAACATACAAACTTATATATAAGTGAATCGGTAGATCTACATTTCCCTTCTGTTTTTAGCAAAAAGAGGTGCTATTCTGCACGGACAGATTTCCGAAGCCGTATCTGCGATAACGTTCTATGTTCGTAACATCAAATCCCCACAAGCCTTTGTGATAAATGCAAAGGGCGTGCCAAAACAAGGTAGGTTTGGTTACATTCTATAATGCTTACCTCAGCGAAGGGAATTAGTGAAATTTCAGCATATTTCACTGTCCAATACACTGGACAAATTTACAGGCCATCATAGGAGATAGGAGAGTTCTTTAGTTTATATCAGTCCAAAGACTGTAGAGCGGTAATTTATCAATCAACACTGTGCATTTCACTAAAGCGTTCTGCAGCAATCATCAATTAAATTTCAGATTTGAAATGCTTAGCTGTGTAGTTAGCGTGTTTCCGTGTTCATTTGTCAACATTCGCATAAACACCTATATGATTGTTTTCACTCCTAAATCACTGGCCCAGCATCTTGCATCGTTCTGTGAGGAATTTTTTTCAAAATGTCCTCATGTTAGAACCAAAACTCCCGAAAGGCGCAGTCGTCAGGGAAACCCTGGAGGTTGACCGCGGATATTCGTTTTCCTATCTCATTATTTTTAAGAATGACGTTCAGGTACGATAAAATTGCTTAAAATTGTACTTCTTTGTCCGTAGAAAAACAAGTGTCTTGTGTCATAAATTCTTTATTTTCTTAAAATTCTTAAGAAAATCGAAGTCTCTGGAGGGGCCAAATTGGCAGGGCCTAGCTACAAACCGCCATCTCTGGCAGTATACAGCCCACTCTGTATGTCTTTGTAAACGACATAACAGTCACAACACTGCCCTTGTTTTTCTCACTTAATGCATTGCATTCGTAATTTGCTTCTGTTATACGGTAAACAATTGACATTAAGAATATAAAGTAATTAAATTCGTAAAATCAGCTGAAAAGTAAATATCTGTTACACTTTAGGAAAACAAATTTGACGTCTCCAACTTTTTGACAGTTTTTACCTTCCCACAGACATGGAAGAGCCTCGGCCTACCAATATTATGTTCATCACCGGTTACATCGAAAATAAGAAAATGTCATTCGCGATGAAGTATGCCGATAAGACAAACGAGGTATTCAACTTCTTGCCCGAATATGAATATGGAGCATTCTACCGTGGCTACTACATCTCTGGTTTGAACAACGTGGGCCACATAAAACCCCTGTGGTGGGTTATCCTCGCCAATATTGCTTTCCGGCTGATATATGTTTAGCCGTGTAAAGAATAAGCATTTGCAGCACGAAATTTGTGCCTGTATGAGAATAAATTTTTGGTTCGAATACTGTATCTATTCTGTCGATTTGCGGGCAAGCCTTTTTATACCAGAACACGAACTGGTCTGCGAAGGATATAATTCTCTCCTATGTAGCTGTAATTTTTTCGTCTTCCTTATGCGGCAATGTTTACTGACCTGTTGGAAACTCAGTTATAGCATTGTCAGCGCTATAACATGAGGCCAAGCATCCTCGACTCCAGACTGATAATAAAGCATAATATGCCAACAGACTGTCTTCTAGCCCTGTACCGGCCTAGGGGGTCACACGCAAACGGGACATGCCAAATTCTGTTCAGGAGTCAGCAGGCATCGTTGAATGACGGCTTCACTGTAGCCTTGGTTTATTGCCAGACTGAAATGCGGGGCGCACGAATGGAGACTTGCCTGAATTACAGGCGACTATGCACAGATTCCGAGAATGGGCTATGGTCTGTACACGGAAATATCTGCCCCTGAATTTAACTGTAAGTCCGTCTATATTTAGAGGAGATGTATTTTCTCATTGCAAGACTTACACAAGCCAATATTTCGACCAAAACTAATAAGACCAGATAAACTGCATTTGCAAATTTCAAGTCTACATGTGGGTTTTCAATCTGCACTCAAACTCCACTTTCTGTATTTCCGTCAACTAGCAGCTTCAGAAAGGATGTATGCCCTTGATTGGAATGCCAATGCGATTTAATTGCAAAAGATGCATTTGGTAACGACAGAACACCTTTATGCGATACACAGGGGGTATCTCACAAGAGCGGACATTTATAGGCAACCAGCCGAAAATCCACGAGCACTGTCATGGGACGGTTAAATGTCGAAGAGGAATCACTAGAATGACGAGAACGGAGCAGCCGGTTGGCATTTCGTTGCCAGGCGGGGGGCGGGGGGAAACGTGAAACACTCGACTGAAAGTCGAGTGAGTGAGGGAACGCAGTGCTTAACTTTGCCCATGGGAACTAATTTTAGGGATCACGAAATATGCATATTTTTAGTGTCTGCCGTCTGTGGAAGCGACAAAGGCGCCATGATATGGTTTTGATGCCACAATGGGACATGCTGAGGCCTATATGAGATAAGGCGCGTTTATTGAGATTCTTTGCAGCTAGTTGTATCTTGGATTGAAAAGATGGAGCAAGTGCTATCTGTCAATGCATGCATCGCACTGGACAGAAATGCATTCGCAGCAAACACCTACAATCAGTTCTCAGCTTTCTTTTGGTGTTTCGGAAATCGCCTAGTGCCCCTTTGACGCCATCTTCTGAAATGCAGTTTTTGTTACATATCGCAACATGTTATTAACTGAATGTGAAATTCTGAACATGGCTACAGGGAACACTGCTTTTGCTATAGACGTCGACTAAGTAGAAGTTACGCGTGAGGAAGAAACAAAAAAACTCGAACGCCACTCCGCCGTCAACTTAGATAGAAATCGTATTTTTCTAGAGATGAAACGCAACGAATAGTGTGTTCTAGTAGAGGCAAAATTGTGAGGATGACAATTAATGAAGTAATTTAAAATAATGCACTGTTTGGCCTCCATGATGCTTACTTTTTTACGCGACTTAGTAGCTCTTGTCAGAGCCTGCGGTCAATCCGAAATTGCACAAAAATACCCACGGCCAGCATCTAATCAGTTAAAGTACGGACGTAATGCATCAGAATGGAATGAATTCGCCTTCTCCAATATTTACTGCCTAAAAGCAGTGAGCATATTGAGTTTATTTATGGTTGTCGTAAACAGCTACTTCAGACTGACAAGGGAATAAAAAATCTTCCTTGTTTCACTTTGCCAGAGCCTCGAAACAGATGCGTATCTTGTCAAATAAGGGTCGGTTTTTATGTCTCTGTCCTGGTTACTTTAAGACATTAATTGACAAATAGAGCTGATGCATGCTCTTTCACTCCCAGACTGTGAACTACAACGCATTCATTGGAGCCTTGGAGTACACCTTGTACTGGAATGAGTTCACGTTATTAAGCCACTGGGCAATCAAAAGACAATAGGAGTATATAAATTTCAGTGGATACGAATGTTAGCATTACATGTATTTGAATGAGTAAAGAATAACATGGCTAGTCATCCAAAAGGCATATTTGTTTGTTAGTATGAGCTTCCGGACTCTGGAAATTACGTCTGAAATTACGGCAGCAATTGAACAAGACACACGTATAGAGGGTATTAACTAGTCAATCATCAGTATCACATGTGTGGCGGCAACCGCGCAGCACTCCGTATGCCGGCGCCTGATTTATACATCGATCGAATGAGTTTCCAGTCGAGGCCAAAGTCAAAATTAATTCGCAGCTTTTCTTAATTCGGCAGTTTGACAAGTAGGGGCAACCACTGGCGATAATTTATCAGGCCGTCGCTCAGTCGACGACGATTGGAATACGTGATATGATACAATAAACTCGACTGCTTTCCGGGATTTAACTGCTCTTATATTTTTATGGTCCAACTGCGCGTGGAAGTTTGGGTTGGTGTAAATTCGCAACATGTGGCCCTGCAGCAATGCTGCTGGTTATTTCTGTGTCGTCCTTAATGCATGACTAACATACCGCATTAACAGTAGTGTTTTATTTTGTGCCAAAAATATTTAAGCCACGTCAGGCTGTCTGCGAGCTTTCTTCGATTGCCTGCGATAACGCCACTGCAAAACATGTCTACTCACATAGTATTTATTTTAAACAAAGACTTTAAACTTCGTGAATAATAATCAACCCGAACTACCACTGCATTTGGTTTAGGGTTTCGAACTTACAGGGTGCACAGTTTGTACGTAAGGAAAGTCAAAATCAGTCTGTGTTAATGTCTAATGCTCTGCATGTACCCCTTCTCTCTCTTTTTTAAGGAAGCCATTAGTAAACGCCCTTGCGTATTATACTAATGCTGAACCGGACGAACCAGAAGTTTGAACTGATCGGGCACTTTTGCGCAGGGTCTGTGAAAATGCGATTAGCAATAAACGCGTGTCAGCTAACTTGTTTCCTTGTCATCACTCGCTTTGCTCCTCTGCCTGATGACCGTTTGCTGTCGTTGATCCCGACCGATCTTTAATTTCCCGCTCAGACGTTCGTTCCCCCACCATCCCGTCCAAAGTTACAAATAGGTGTCAGAGGTGGGATGTCGACATCCAAGAAAGAGCATAACGACCAGCATCCCCAGTCTGAACTCCCTGTTTGTCAACCTGAGGCCTCGGATCCGTCCATCAATAGATCTTGTATGTGCCCAAAGAGCAAAATCAAGTCAGACGTAGCCGCCTCGCCCTCCGTTCCCCCAGCAATTTCTACCCAAAAACGACTACTCCATGTGGGCCTTCCGCGCCGAAAACTTCCTCCACATACGCCGGCTCCTACTAAGTCTCGGTCGTACGACGGTAACAATCGGGAGATGGCACCCAAAACAAATCCGTAACGTTCGCATCGTCCGCTCTTTCTCCCTCTCAACGTCGACACCCCTCTCGACCCTCCCCTGCAGTTACCAACAGCGCTGTATTCCCCACCGGTTGCTTAGCTGGCATGTCGGTGTCGCCTCACCACCCAGACAGGTCACTCCCTTGTAACTCTTCCCGTCTGTACAATTAACTACTATTTTATGCATTTCTAGTTTCCATCTCTTCGCATCATACGTTATCGCCTATCCAACGTTTCTTCTTCCTCTGCGTGTGGATGAGTATTGCAAAATGTAAACAGCTCTATTCAGATCGATCGTATTCAGGACCTCTTCCCTGTGCTTCGTTGCCTCGGTGTGTGCCATCTTGGACGTCCTCGACCGCTGCACTGTGAATCTAGTTTCTCCTTAGGACAGAGGATATGCTACGACTGACACCGTTGGCCAACTGAAATCTGTTTTTGGTTCGCAGATCTGGATCAATAGACTGGAGATTTTCAAAAAAATTATCTTAGCGAACAACAAAAAACAGAAAAAGTCGAAATGCAACATCCCTTTCACAACCGGAATGAACGTTGCTGCAGAATGGCCGCTCCTTCTACTGTCCGTGACGATGAACATTTGATTGCCATTCTGATGCTTTTGAAACGCAGCGCGGTTTGCATACGCACGAGTCCGTTTCGGAAAATGTCCTTTGCTCAGGTGGAATATAGCCTTAAGTAGTTGTATCGGAGTAAATGTTTAAATATTTGAGTAGAAATCAGAGATGCCGTGTAGGTAACAATCGGGAGACGGCACCCAAAAAATCCGTTACCTAGAAATAATACCTTTGAGAGTGGACTCAAACGCCTTCACGGCCTAATATGGGCTGGCCGAACGAACATCGCAGGAGGTTACATGGACGATGGTAGTTATTACCAATCCTTCCCCATCGTTGCACACACACACACACCTGAATATACGGCATACATTCGCATTATGGATGTTTATTGCAAAACAAAGTCATTTTTAAATAGGATAAGTCTGCACAACATGGGACAGGAACAGTTCCCAGGCATCTGTCAAAGACATGGCATTGAGGCCAAACCAAAGACGATACTGT